TAGTACTGTAGCTCTCTGAATTCCTCTGGCATTACTATATAACTCTCAAATGTATGTTTTTTGTGCTATTTATAAACAGTTATATCTACTCTAATACTTGGTTGCATATCTGAGCATTTATGTATCCTGTCTATTAATTCTATGACCATAAACATTTGAAAATGTCCTTTATATATGCAACCAAGTATTAGAGTAGATATAACTGTTTATAAATAGCACAAAAAACATACATTTGAGAGTTATATAGTAATGCCAGAGGAATTCAGAGAGCTACAGTACTAAATCATGAGGCAATTCTTATTTAAAAATTGAAGTGTCATATAGTTTTACTGTAATAGCTTTAGCTAAAAAATCTTTCAGGTCTGAATGCACTTTCCTCTTCCCTCACTGTATCTTTATGTGAACTAGGAGTTTTTCGAAGATATTTATTTAAATGAGCTTCTAGGAATGGGCTTCAAACCCTTTTCTGCCTTGGTAGCAGTTCTTTTTCCTGTCCTTCAAGGCCATTCCCTATTCTTTCTACATTGTAATATTCAGATACATTGTTTTTGACTCCATGTATTTTTGCCTACATGAGAAAATGTAACAGACCTCATCAATAAAACATACATTATCAAGGTATTTTTAGGGTTTATTTACGTACACATTATGCACAGAGAAATAGGTTTCTTTCAACAGTTTTTCATATCTAACCTTAAATGAAGAGGTTGATGTTGCAGAGTACCCACTTGCTCCAGATACAAGGGATGCCATAGAGCCATGACGTCGCAAGCTTGACTCCGATCCATAGCCAGATTCAGTCTAAAGAACAAATACATGCATTAGTTATGGAATAACTGAATGAATTGCTCAAATTAGTATTCTAAAAGAAACAGTGGACTAGAGAAAGGCATCCAAAATGTGTGCATGTGTGTCTGTGAGTACACACAGAGACAAACACACATACCATTTTAAGACATATTCCATGAAGAAGCCATCATCTGAAAACTTAGCTAATTACAGGAAAGGAAGGGAAAATATTATTACATAATATTTCAGTTGAGCTTACTTACAGAAATTATCTAGTGAGAAACTAAGGAGAAAAATGTATCTTCATTAAAGCTATCTAAATACCAGGAAATAAGGAAATAAATACTTCCTAATCTCTTTTCTCTCCTCTCCCCCATCATGCAGCCCTTCAATAGTGGAAACGAGCAAATAGCTTGAAGGTATCTAGTCTTTCACATACTGGCTATCTGCCTTCTTAAGCTTTAGCTAAACAAACTGCAGCCACTTAAAACAAACAAACGAAGAGCCAGTTGGTCTAGTAGTTAAGGTACCAGGCTATAAACTAGGAGACCATGAGTTCAAATTCTGTTTTAGTAATGAAAGATAGGTGGCTGACCTTGGGCCAGTTATTCCCTCTCAGTCCAACTCATCTCACAGAATTGTTGTTATGGGGAAAGCAGGAGGAGGAAGGAACATTAGATATGTTTGTCGCCTTAAATTATTTATAAAAATAATAATGGCAAGATTTAAATTAAATAAAAAATAAACTGAAGTTATTCAGAGAAAGTGATTCTTGCAATACCTGAATTCTGAATTTTAGCTATGAGTATAGGAAGTCCAGGGATGTGTGGTGGTTTAGTGACTAAGACGCTGAGCTTGTTGATCAGAAAGGTCCGCAGTTCGGTGGTTTGAATCCCAAGTGCTGCATAACAGAGTGATCTCCCATTACTTGTACCAGCTTTTGCCAACTTAGCAATTTGAAAGCATGTAAAAATGCAAGTAAAAAAATAGGGACCATCTTGGTAGGAAGGTAACAGCATTCCGTGCACCTTCAGCATTTAGTAATGCCAGCCACATGACCACGGAGACGTCTTTGGACAGTGCTGGCTCTTCGGCTTTGTAACAAAGATGAGCACTGCCACCCACAGTCAAGAACAACTAGCATGTATGTGCGAGGGGAACCTTTACCTTTACTTTATAGAAAGTCCACAACTCAAATTTATGAACCTTTCTTAAATAATTTTCAAACCATTTGTCAGCCCAAATGCTCCATAACTACAGGCTCTGTAATTTAATATAGTTGGGGTGTTTTTTGAGTTCTTTTAATATATCTATATTGATTACTTACAAAAAGATTTCTTTGAGAATATAGAAAAAGTAAAGAAATGAAAATTTGAGAAACAAATGAGTTACAGTATTGTTGCTATATAATCTAAGTGTGCCGTGATTTTAAAAACTAACAAAAATATTATGGATATTATGAAGGGGAAGAGCTAGGAAAAGAATGCAAAAAGAATGACATAGATAAATAAGAAGATAAACTAATGCTTAAAAACTAGTTCTTTGAATTAAATAAGAATGTTATAAAAGTTTCACCACCAAGATAAAAATGCTGATATTTTTGCTCTTTATGGATAACAAGCATTTATGCACCATTAGGTTGGTATTGATTCTAAGAACCATAAAGACAGGATGATCTATATATCCCTAGTCCAACTCTTTAAGTATTGTCAGTTACCTTCTCTAATATGAAGTTCAAAAGCATCAATATTCTTTCCATCCTGCTTCTTCAATTCCCACTTTTATACACGGATATGTGAATACTATTATACAATAATAATTCTACTTTTTCAAACTGCTCTGAAGTTACTTACCAGTAGCATTTTGTTCTTGTTCTGAATCAGGCTCTTAATTAATCATAGACATCACAGTATGCAGAAAATCAGGATTCAAGCAAACAAATTACCCTTCCCCCTGCTGGAAAGGAAGCAACTCTAGACATCTTTCTTCTCTCTTCTATGTAGTTCCAAAAACTGACACAAAACAATAAATAATTCAAACCTGAATAGAATGGGCGTTGGTTCTTACCCGATATGCTCATTTTCTGGTGGAGTAGAGACAGCAGCCAGACTGGGTATGCTCCGTCCATTAACCAATCGGACTGAGTCTACACTAATGATATCATCAGGCCCTTGGGGCTCCTCCCCAGTTTCAGATGAAGGAAAACTGTAGCCTCAAGTGAGAATTGTAAGCAAAAGTCCATAGTCACTGTATCTCTCTCCTCCGCACAAGAAATTCCCTCGTGTGACCCATACCAGGGCGGGGCTGGCTGCTGTCTCTACTCTATCAGAAAATGAGCGTATCAGGTAAGAACCAATGCCCATTTTCCTGTTATCGTAGAGACAGCAGCCAGACTGGGACGTACCAAACACTGGGCTGTCCGTTAGGGTGGGAAATTGTAAAAAAGGTCAGTTAGGGCACAAGCACTTGTTGTAGCACCCTGCGCCCAAAAGCTGTGTCAGCCGGCGCATACTTGTCCAACTTGTAATGACGTATGAAGACTGTGGGAGACTCCCAGGTGGCCGCTCGGCAGACTTCTTCTAAGGTGGCTTGAGTGGACCAACCGCAGATGTCGCAGTGCTGCATGTAGAGTGAGCTGTAATGTTTGCAGGAACCTGTATGGATTGAAGTTCATAAGTTTAATACAGGCTCTTATCCAGCGCCCCAGATTAGACGATGAAGCCTTGGTACCCAAGGAGGCCTGGCAAAAGGAGATGAAGAGAGCTTCCAAGTGGCGGAATGAGGTGGTGCGGTCGATGTAGATCTTGAAGGCACAACGTACGTCAAGAGTGTGCCACTTGTGCTCCATCTCGTGACAGGGAGATGGACAGAAATCAGGTAAGGTAAACTCCTGACCTCGGTGGAAACAGTTATTGACCTTCGGTATGGATGTCGGGTCCAGTCTTAACAGAACTCGGTCTGGATGGAACACGCACAAGTCATGCCTGACTAAAAGAGTAGCCGAATCAGAAATACGTCTGGCTGAAGTTACAGCCACCAAAAACAGCGTTTTAAAGGACAACAGTTTCAAAGAAGTGGATCTCATAGATTCAAAGGGCGTGAAAGTCAAAGCCTCTAGGACACGAGGTAAGTCCCAAGTCAGATATCTATGTATGGCAGGGGTTCGCAGGTTGGATGCTCCACGGAGAAATCTCCAGATAAAAGGATGAGAAGGTAGATGTTCGGATGCCAGGCTGTCCAGAACAGAGACCAGAGCGGCCACCTGTCAGTGTAGCATGTTAGGGGTAAGTCCCTGATCAAGCCCTCTCTGCAGGAAGTCCAATATCTGCAGAATGGATGCCCTAAGTGGGTCAACAGTCTGGTTGGAACACCACAAAGCAAAGATCCGCCGCATGGCATTAGAAATGCGGTTAGTAGAGCTTCTGCGTGATGCCTGAATGGTAGCAATGACGTTGAGGGAGATGTTATCGGCTGTTAAGGCTTGCCGCTCAATCGCCATGCGGTTAATTGCAGCCACTGGAGGTCAGGATGACAAACTGATCCTTGGTGTAGAGACAGGAGAGACCTTGGGATGTGCCATGGGGTGGAGGTTGACAGAGTCACTAGGTTGGCATACCAAGGCTGGCGTGGCCAATTCGGCGCTAGCAGCAAGTGCTGCCCAGTACCTTTGTGAATATCCTGGGGGCAGAGGATAGACCGAATGGAAGAGCTCAGTACTGGAAGTGCCTCCCCCCACAGGAGAAGCGGAGATATTTTCGGTGGTCTATGAAGACGGGGATATGAAGGTAAGCTTCAGTCAAGTCTACCAACATGAGGAAGTCGCCTTTACTGACTGCCTGGAGGATGGTGTGCAGAGAATGCATTTTGAACCGTCGATAGACAATGTGGCAGTTCAACGTTTTTAGATCTAAAATTGCTCTCCATCCCCTGGAATTCTTCGGTACTACAAACAGGCGGGAATAAAAACCCTGTCCTTCCTGATGGGGAGGAACCGGTTGGATGGCCCGGCTCTCCAACAGGTGCTGAATGGCCTGGTCCATCAGTGCCCTCTTGCAAGGACACCGAGAGACCGGGAATGGTACGAAGTGTTCCTGGGGGATTGAGAGGAATTCTAGCATGAGACCAAATTTGACAGTTTCGAGTATCCAATTATATGTTGTGGTCTCCTCCCAGCGGTGGGCAAAGAATGCCAGACGGCCCCCGATCGAAAGAGTATCCAGATAGTCATTTCTTAAATGAAAAATGGCGGTTGCCTCCTCCACGGTAAGATTTCTTGGAGGGGAAACACTGTGTGTTTCTATTTGACCTGTCCTGGTGAGATCCCTGTCTGGGAGTGTATGATTGGCATTGTGGGCAGGGGAAGGAGGTTCCCCCATCCGCCAGTCGAAAGGCCGACCTCCTATAGAAGGGAGCAGGCCAATTGTCCTGTTTCTTGTAGATGGATAAAAGGACATTGTGCTTGTCTTTAGATTCCGTGAGGTACGAGTCTAAGGGATTACCAAATAATTGGGTGCCACTAAATGGGAAGGCTGCTAGGCGCCACTTGGTATGGACATCCGCCTGCCATGGCTTGAGACAAAGCAGACACCTGGCCATGACCGAAGAGGCCATGGCTTTAGAAGTGAATCTAGCAGCATTAAGGGAAGAATCAGCTGCAAATTCAACCACTGCCCTGATCTTGTTCAGATCCCTATGTGATGTAGTGTCAGTAGGAGCGATGCACTCCTGAAGCTGCTCAATCCAAACCAAGGCAGCCCTGGAGAAAAAAGAAGTAGCTGTAGAGGCCCTAACAGCCCAGGCCCCAGCCTGATAGTTTTTGACTAAGGTTTTATCTGACCTTTTCTCCTCAGGCTTGAGAACCTCCTCAGGGGCTCCAGAGACAACAGTAGGTGAAGACAGGGCTGCAACCAGAGTGTCCACTGAGGAGTCTCAATGAACTTGGTGAGGGCCGGTGCAATGTTGTAGAGATGTTTGTCAAGGTTGGTCAGCTGTGGGCCTGTGCCTGGAGACTC